CAGTGTTTTTGTGTCTTTTGGGTAGATACCTAGGAGTGGGATTGCTGGGTCATAGGGAAGCTCCATGTTTAGCAGTTCGAGGAACCTCCAAACAGAGGAAAACTTAATTATTCTTAATGAAGAAAAAGCTACATTTTATAATTCACGGCCAAACTAAGTTAACTTTTAAAAAGCAAAAGGCAGAACTCACTACAGCAGCTAAGCATTACTGGGATCAGACCCTGCCTGTTACTCAAAAAAAAAAAACACAAACACAGCCTTCCCGGGATAGCCAGGCCTGCCTCTGTGAGATAAGAGGAAACAGTCTTGAGCTGGAGGCCTCAGAACACAAAGCCTGCAGCTGGCCACCGCCTCTGAGGCCACTTGGCAGAGCAAAGCCCTGCGTGTCATCACAGAGCATGCGCCAGCTCAGGCGAGGCCTCTCATCCTCAGCATTCTATACTAAAACCCAAAAAGATGGATTCTCCTGTAAATGTGAAAAAAAAAAACACAAAACAGGAAGCCCGAAGTCTGGACAAACTTTAGAAACTAAGAGCACCTGAGGCCAGTGCTTCTCCAATTCAACTCTGCATCCTGGTGACCAGGGCGCTTGTTAGAATGCATGTTCCTAGGCAGCCGTCCTAGGCAGGGCCCAGCTTGGCATTTCCAGAAGGCTCCAGGGGATAGCAGGGCCCGCCGCAGGGCTTCACTTGCCCTAGCAGGGCACCACTGCCCATGCCATCCTCTACCCCCAGATATCTCTTGCAGCCTGGGCGGGGGCTAGATCCCATGTCTTCAGCCCCGGCACAAGGTCCCTGTTTGGACAGGAAACTACAAGGTGCTCCAGACTGGTTTTTAAGGTGACCCTGAATCACTTAGCTTTTTGTTTTGTACTGTTTAGTGGGGTGTGTAACAGAGAAGGGCAGTGGACTGCTCAGGCTGCCCTGACACCAGCACCTGTTGGCCAGCTAGGGTACTCATGTATATTGGGGAGTCTCCTCCCAGGTCCCCCACCCACCCCACATGGCTCACTCCGGGCTTTTGTACAATCAGGCAAAAGTATGAAGATGCAACAATGAGATCAGACTAGAGCGAGCCAAGGGACAAAAGCACCGAGTCCCCCAGCAGAGGCCACAGTGATGACTCTGGGAACCCCACCTGGAGGCTTCCCCCAGGGCAGGCAACAAACTTTCTGTAAAAGGCTGGGGAGTAAATATTGTCACTCTGGGCGTGATGTCATCTGTCAGCATATTCAACTCTGCCACTGGGTCATGGAGGCGGCCAGCGCCAGCGAATGCGCAGATGGGCTTGGCAAAGCTGACACAAGCTATGCAACCTCTATCGACTCACATAATCCCGATGGAGACGGAAGTGCTCTGAAAAATCACTTTCCATGCTAACTTATGTAATTGTAACAGGTACAGGTTTCATGGACTCCGCCCCTACTCCAGATGCTGGAACTCCAAATCCCATCAGTACCAAGAAGCACCCGGGGACGTGAGGGCGGAGCTGAGCAGCCAGGTTGGGATAAAACTGGACATGTGGGCTCTGGGGGGACCTGGTGGTTCGCAGCTGATCGTTTTGGCGCTCAATCGGTTTCCAGCGTGCCGGTGGAGTCCACGTCAGCAGAACTGGTAGGACATCCTAGTTAACCTGTGTTTCTCTCCCTCTTTCCCTGGGGTATTCCTTTACCTTTCTCCTTATAAATAAATCCATTATTTAACCTTTTGAGTGTGCCCATAATATAATTGAATCGTAAGCGCACGGGGTGAAGACCCACAGACATTGGGGTGCATTATGACCTCCCTTTTTTGTATAATCGTAATATCAAAATATTCTGAGCAACCTTCAGCTTACAATTGGATTGCCTCAGCCTCAGGAGGCGCTACCTGGGGCAGACAAGCAAGTACTGCACCAGGGTGAGAAATTCCTCTTAAAGTCAAAAGTGATTTGACAACTGACTGATAAATAAAAACAAGTGGCTGTTACTGCTAAGTGGAAGGAAAACCCAAACCTTAACACTTTACTACCTCACACAGCCTTCTATTCAGTTTCTAAATAACCACTCAAGCTTTCTACTATATAGTCTTTAGATATGGAAATTAACCCAAGTCACCTATTCAGAGCTAATCAGGTTTTCCACCTTCTAGACGTCAAGAAAACTCACTTAAACTTTCTAACAAGTTTTTCAAAGAACCTTACAGTAACTTGATTTACAAGAAAATTTCCTTTTCCTGCCTTTGCTTTCCTTTCCTTTACCTCCTAGGATGTAAATTAGAATAAAAACCATTAATTGGTAGATAAAGTTTGAGGGACTTTATTTTGGTTAATCTTCATTGTGGTAAATATAGTAATATTAGTCTTAAACTTTGTGAGTCTATGTACCTGTTTTAACCTTGATAGATTGATTTTAAAAATGTTATAATCTCAACTAAAGGTCAAAATGACCCCAGACTATTCTTAGAAAAAAGGTGACTGTGATCTCAGCCCATTTCATATGCTAATGTCATCCCTCAGCCTGCTTGAAATGTATAAAATAAACCTCTGCTGAAGGCAGAGCAGGAAGACTTGCACCCAATTCCCATTCCCGTGTCTTCCTGGCATCCACTCCCCATTCCCCCCCTTTTTTAGGAATCTCCGCTCGCCAACGCCATTCCCACCTTGAGACCCTGCCTGTTCCGCCCCCCAATAATCTGTGATCAGGTACAAAGAGTCTCTGACACCAAGCCCCAGCAAAACTTGATCAGGTGGTCTCTCTGGCCTGCTCTGGGGGCAGGCCCACTACAGTCCAGCTGGGGCTCATCATCCTTCCCTGACAACCATAAAGCCGGTTTGCTCACCCAGGCAACACAGAGGGGCATCAAGAGGGGGCAGTTAACCAATTACAGTGTGCCCTTGTCATGGTACACAAAGCCTTTACAAAGATTAGGCAGATCTTAATAAGTGGAGAGTAGAGAGATCTTCAGGGACATGCATTTAGTCCGCAGGCAGCAAATGACATAGTGATTACTGTAACCAGGGGAGAGGAGAGCCTGCCCCAAGCCGGTATCTGCTGACCCGGTACCTGCTGACTGCAGGAGGCAGAGCCCTGGGGCATCCTGGGTACAGCTATGAGCCTGGCCACTGCCACCGGGAAGGGGAGGAGACACTTCCCCATCCCCACAACAGCCTGGGAGTTAGAGCACCATCTCTCAGATGGTGCAGAGGATGGAAGCTCAGCGAGATGAGAAAGAGATGACTGCGAAGAAAGGTTCTGGTCACCACACCTGACTGCCTGGAAAACTAATAACTTCGGGGGGTTGGGGGTGGGGAGGGCTACACCCCACAATGGGACCTCAAAAGCTTCCTCCAGCATACTCTTGGTATTCTTCAGCACCCTACTACTTTAAGGAACCTGTGGGCAGCCTGAATAAAGAGCTCTGCTCTTATTAGAGAACCCACCCAAGGAGAACCTGAGCTAGGCAAAGGCCAGGACAACAGGAAGCCTTCAAGAATGAGTTTCATGAGGCCCGTGGAGGAGCCCTCTCGGGACACGGGGCTACACTAGATCAGTGACTTAACTGAGTGACCGCAGCTAACCTCAGGTGGGGTAACTATCCAGTGGGGTCTGATCCACTTGGGAGGGCCCATTGTGGATAAATGTCACTAGCAACAGAAATAAGGCCATAATCACAGGCGCACTTAAGTGGCAGAGACAATTCAACCCCACGTGTGACACCCAAATCTAGAAACATATTCCTCTTTTATAAACATTCCCCTACTAAGGGGCATTGAGGCGGTTTCAATTTTTTTTTAACCATTATAAGCTGTAGTGTACTAAGGGTCCTAATATTTGTCTCATTGTTGGCAAATATGTTTCTCCACACTATTTTCTAAAGTGGGACCATGGCCTCAGGGTGACGCGCCTTTGCTGGTAGTCGCCTTTGCTGGTAGGCGCACTATTCCAAGGCAGGCTTCCACAGTCATGGATTGTTACTTCAAATACTTAACATCTCCTCTGGTGGATACAAAGTGATCTGATTCTGGTCTAATTCATATTTCCTGAGCTTCAAAACAAAAATTCAAGTCTTATCATAGCTTTAACCATTCAGATTTCAACACCCTGGATACATGTAACAATTTCACCATCCTGGAATTCAATTTATGTCCTACAAGGCAAATTTTGCAGTTTTAAAAAAAAATGCTGGGCAGCTCTTCAAAAGAGATTCACAGATCAGTAATCTCAAGGGACAGGGTCCACTTCAACATACTGATAAGGCACAACATTGGGTAGACTGTGCTCTGTGGCCTTAGCACTTGGCCACTCTTCTCTCCCTTTCCACAGTCACCGCCTTTACACCCTCAGCAGTTCTCCTGGGAATTACTGCAATGAACTGCCTAGGGAGCCTCTGTGCAATACCTGTAGGCACTGCAGAGTATCTAAGATACCCAACTACTAGGATACACAATTGCCAGGGCTTTCAGGACAAAATCCCAATCTTTTAAACTGCACAGGAGGTTCTGCAAAACTCATTTCTCTAATCCCAAACGGGTGAAATTCACCATCCATAGGAACTCCCTCTCTTCAATGGTCTCCAGGCCCTTTCCATGCCTTCACTGTGTGGTTTACCAGATGAAATACCATCCTCCATTTCACTAGCACCTGACCTATCCCTCAAACTCCCCTCAAGCATCCCTTCCCTACAAAGCTCTACCTCTTACCCCCGTCTGAGTGAGATGCTTCTCCAAAGGTTGCATGATGCAGTCACCATGCAAACCCAAAACCTCGCACGTGTTAACATTGCAGTACTACACCAGAAACAACCCCTGCCCAATAGCCTTAGAAAGCTCCACTACTGTTTGCTAACTAACACAAGCGCAGAGGCACAAAAACCTGGGAGACTCCACTACATGCCACAGGGTGTTTTATTTTCCTCTTCCTCTCAAGCACGTGACACAAAACTTCTTCCAGCCCCTAGATTCCTGGCACGAGAAACAGTCAGTGCAATTAGAGCTTCAACTCGAATACCTAATTAGGAGCAGGGGACTAATCCAGTTAATTTTCATTTCCTTGTGGATAGGAACCGTGCAGTAACTCCCTGCAGCTCCAACTTCGGAGAAATCAGGGTTTCCCTGGCACCTGGGAATGTTTGTGTACATCTGGGTACTTCTGTTGCCGCTCATGGCCCCTCCCTCTTTGACTAAGGAGAACTGTTTGGAAACCTGCCCAATTCTCCGCAATAAAAATACCAACAACCTGCACTGTCCTTAAACTGCGAACATGGAGACCAGACCGGTACCTGAACCCAGCCCAGGGCGGGCGGCGGGACCTAATGCCTCCCCCTCTCGAGCCTGTTTCTCCTTCCACCTGGAGGAGGAACCCGAGCTTTGGGCCACAGCACGCGCCACCTACGAGCACCCTCACCCCAGAACCCCACGCAGCCAGCCCCCAGGAGGGCGGGCTTTCCGCAGGGAGGTCCAAGGGTTTCCCTAGAAAACCATCATTTCCCGAAATCCTCCTTCGCGGGGTTACTCAGAAGGTGCCAGGAGAACAGAAAATGCCCGGCCCTGAGGCCTTGGCACGGCACCCGGCTCTCGGGCTCCGGCTAGGGTGGGGCCGGCCCCCGTGGAGTTTGGGCCCCGCGGATACCTGCGCGGGAGGCGGCGGCGGGGCCGTGGGAACTCCTTGCGCGCAGCCTCAGAGCAGTCAGCTCGCGACGTCCTCCCTGCAGTGATTGCGGCGCTATGGCCTCGCCCGGCTTTGAGGGGCTGCTGCGCCGCGGTGATTGGTGGACTGTGGGGCGGAGCGTGGGCGAAAGCCAATAGGAAGCGGGGGCGGGCCCGCGCGTCTGCGGGACTACAATTCCCCGCGTGCCTCGCGGCCTGGGCCAGCCTGTGCCAGACACTGCCGGACGCGAGAGAGACCTGCGCTGGGAAATGAGTGTGTTCAATGCGCCCAGCATTACCCACTTACAGGCTGTGGGACCTGAGCGAATTACTGAACTTCTCTTAGCCTGAGTTTCCCCAACTGTAACATGGAAAAAAACAGTACCCACTTCGTAAGTTCTCTCAGAATTAAATTAAATTTAAATTAAAATTCATATCAAGTGGGCCCTTCCTGCTGGCGCAGCCAGTTAACGCACAGCACTAAGAAGCTAAAGTCACTTCAGCATAAGTTCCATCCCCGCCCAGGAGGTGACCCATATGGCGTGGCAGACCTCTCCTGACCCGCCCGCTGCTCCCCTCAGCAGTGTACTTCATTCTGCCTGTTCTGCACCCCGCTCTGTCTCTGGTGGATCCTCTCACCGGCCCTGCACAACTGGCTTGTACCCTAGTTCTGTATGCATAAATAAATAAATCTTTTTTAAAAAATCATACCAAGTAAGTGCCCATAGACATTAGCTATTCCCTGGGTGAAGAGCATTCCTTTGGCTACTGGGTCAAGAATCCCAGTGAAGAAAACATGGTGGGAATCTGTGATCCTGTGTACGGCCTGTGCTTTTAGCTCTCAAGATTTGGCAGTGCAATGAGAAGCAACCAAAAATGTCTTTACACATTGCCAAAATTGGGGTGGTAGGGCAGAGGCGGAATAGGGAGAGGGGATAGAGGAGGTCAAAATTTGCACATACATATTGAGAACCATTGACTTAGAAGGAGCTTCACAGAGAACTTGCCATTCGTTTGTTCATTCATTCATTGGATTAATGTTGTAGTTAAAGGTGTAAGTGACGCAGAAGCCTGGGTTTTCATTCCATCTCTGCCACTTTCACTGTATAAATGTACAGTGTTACGAAGTTATAAATGTACAGTGCAACTGTGAACCTAAGCAAGGCCTGTCGCCTCTGTGTACTTTTAAGAATTGTAAAGAGGAATTAATACATGAAAAAACTTAGAACAGGGTCCAGCGGAATTGTAAGTGAAAAACAGCTTTCTGCAAGAGCTACCCGTTGCTGTAACCTTTGGAACATAACCTTTGGTTATGTCCCGCCATTCACCAACCTGTTAACTCCCCTAAAGTGACCTAAACACACCTCCCATCACTAACAATACTCCTTTTGAATTGTTGTGTTGTTCAGAGATAAATGGAAAACATAGGACGCATCATGAAGCCATGCAGACCCTGGCTGCTTGCTCCCTCACGCCACACCAACACAGTGACCATCAATCAGGTTCACAGAAATCTGGAAAAATATCTTTTCCCAGGCAAAAAGAACTGAGTCATTCTGACTAACAGAAAAAAAAAGTTGCCCTTCCTGCCCTGTAGGCAAGTAAAAATCTTACCCCTTCCCCTAGAAGTGTAGACAATTTCTTGACACATGAGTTCCTGGTTAACTCAATTTACTAGTTTCCAGATGTGTGTCTCTGATGGGCTCATTAGCAGGAAATAGCTGAGCTTTCCCCAGCTACTATATGTCAGCTATTGACTAAGCCCTGAGGGTCTCTGCAGTTAATTCCTCTTACACAGACTGAACATGGGCACAAGTTATAAATGTACAGTGCAACAGAGCTTCACAAAGTGAGCCAGTGCTCAGTCTTGCCAAAGCTCAGAAACCTCCCTCTTATCTTCAAGCTACCTTTTTTTTAATATTTCATATCCTCCCTTGTCCTGAACATTTAATAATTCTATTTCCTCTGAACTCCAGTTCCCTTTGTGTTTATTCTGACCCAGGTTTACCTTTTCTTTCTTTTTTAAAATACCTCTTTTTATAATAGTAAGCTGCATATAGCACTTGCCCTTTTAACCATTTTGATGTGTATAGTTCAGTGGCAATAATTACACATACATTGTCGCCCAACCCACATACAATTGCAAAGCTTTTCACTGTGACTTCCAATTTAAAGTCCACTCCATCCTTTCTAGTATAAAACCCCTCCCAGCTAACATCAGCTGACTCTTGCCTATCCTCATGACCTCATTCCCTGCCACTTCATTTTTTCCACTCCAGCCCAGAAGGCTTCTAGTCTTTGCAAATGCATCCAGGAAAGCACCGCCTCTTCCAGTCACACAGCTGGCCCCTGCTCAAAAGGCAACTCCTGCTGAGCTGAGCTAGGCTGTCCTTCTTGAAACCTGACTCTCTGGTTGCTGCATTAGCTGCGTCCATGTTCGTAGCCTTACTGTTTTGGGGTTTTATTTTAAAGATTTATTTATTTATGCATACGAAAGCCAGGGCATAGGCCAGAAGTGAAGGAGTGTGGGTGGGGGAGATGAGTGAGAAGATTCACCAGAGACAGAGTGGGGAGCAGAACTACCTGAAATAGACTACTGAGGGTGTAACGGGGTGGTCCCCAGGAAAAGGGGAAGTTCCAGGTTCCCTGCCCCACCCAGAAGGAGGGTGGAGCTGAGCAAAGGAAAAGGAGAGAAGAAGAGGAAAGAAAAGAGAAGGAAGCTGGATGGGGAACAAGAAGGAGACCTGAGGAAGCCACATGGAGCAGCAAGCATGTGAGGAAGAAACCGTGCTTGTTTCCTGACCCTGGACTGGCTGAGGCAGATGTGGGTGAGAGACCTCTAGGGAGGTGACTATGGCAGTGTTTATATTGATTTTGATTGTGCTCTTTTCTTCCCAGACTTGTCTGGCCATTTCTGACCCTTTTCCATGGGTCCCGGCCAGAAGGTGCTTTAGGCTTGTGGCAGCTTTCAGGCCTTGCTTTGGGCCAATCCCTTTGGGTTGACTTTTGCCCACGAGGTGTTTGATTTAGACATTACATTCTTTGTCTTCTGTATTGCATACTCACTGTATTAAAGTCCCTTTTCATTAAAGTTTTATATGTTTTGTCTCGTTGTGGTGGATGGCAGAATCCACTTAGAACAGGCAGATTTGGGGTTTGGGAGTGCCCCTCTCTCCCCCTGTCCTGTAACAGATTTGCTGTCCTCTAACAGATTTAGGGTACCCTATAACACCCTCTTCGTTGAAAGATTCATAATAAATATTCCTCCCTCAAAACCAGTTTTGGGCTATTTCAATGTGTGTGTGGTTAGTTGGTAAAAGCCAAAGACCATTCAAACCCAATAACATCCTGGGCCAGCTAACTCAAAATAATACAGAAACTTCCATCACTGTCTGTCACTCTCTTGCTTTACAACCTCAATGTATGCATTTGTTAATTTCATGGTTCTCTGATGGAAGCTGTGGGTAGGAAAATTTATGGGAACAAAAACAAACACAAAAAGTGAGGATAGGGGCAATGAATGAATCTTAAACTAAACTGTATAGAAGTTTCCAGAAACTGAGATAAAGTGAGAAAACATTATCTGCCAGAAGTGGAGGCAGAGAAGATTATCACTGTAGAAGAACAACACAACCTGACCCCAAGGAGATAAATTCCACAAGAATTTCATCAATGAACACTATAAAAGAACAGCCTTGCTCTGGCAAAATGCCGCCCACTGCTGGCGTCACTCCTTTTTTCATTTCCTTAATAAACTTGCCATGTGCTGATGAGTGGGAACACCTGGTGAATGCTTTCTCAGACGAACCCAAGAGCACACCAAACTCCATCATCAGAACCCCAGTATCTCCTGAATTTAAAACACCTGAGGGCAGACACCCCCCCCCAACATAAACACACACAACTGCCTCAGTTATTTCTACATTACCAGAACCAAAGGCAGTAGTTGTCATCTAGAACTTATTGAACAGAACAACTGGATTAAGTGGTACACTAAGGTCAAAGCAGCTGGCTGTGCCCCTGCGCACAGGGCAAGAACCATCTCTTCCTGGTTGTTTTTTAAGGATGTCAAGTCAATCAATAAGCATTTATTGAAGGCTGTAGTAGACAGAATGACCCCCCCCCACCCTCAGTGATATGTCATCTTCCCTTTCAGTGTGAGTAAAACCTGAGTATGAGAAATTGTTCCCAAGATTATGTCATGCTATTTGGCACAAAAGAGATTACCTGGGCAGGTGAGCCTACTCTGATCACATGGGCCCTTAAAAGCAGGGTTTTCTCAGGCTACTGGCAGAAAGATTTAAAACTGGTTTGAAGAGGGAGTGACCACAGGCATGCAGGCAGCCTCAAGGAACTAAGAGAGGCCTCCGCTGACAAGCAGCAAGGAGATGGGGCCTCAGTCCTATAACCACAAGGCCTTGAATTCTGCCAGCCGCATGAAGGAACCTGAAAGTATACATTCCCTCCCAGAGTCCCAAGTAAGAGTCCAGAATGACTGACACCTTGTTTCACCATTGTGAGACCCTAAGCAAAGAACCAAGTTGAGTTCACCAGAATTCTATGAACTAGGATAATAAATGAGTGTTGTTTTAAGTTGTTATAATAAGAAATGAATATAACCTCCTGTGGCCCAACTCTGCAGGCCCTGGCCAGCCCTTGGCAACCCTGACACATCGGGTCTCACAAGGTCTCCCCATCCACCACACACTCCTCCCACTCTCAGGCAAGTGCCCCAGGCATTGGGACAGTAAAACTCAGAGTTGGATTAGGCTTTGTGCTCTTTTTTTATGCTCTTTATTTACATAGAATTTGCATTTGGAACAGAGCTTCCCAACTGCCCACCACAACATTCTCCTGCCTGGGCACAGCACTGGACTACATTTCCCAGCCTCCCTTGCAATCACCTGTGGTCATATGACTCTGTTCTAGCCTATGTAATGCAAGAATACCCATTTTTAGTGGAACCATTTTTAGGCCCAACCCACAAAAACCTCCCACTGTTGCTCCAAGTTCCTTCTCTGAGGACAACCCTAGAAGCTTATTTTGAAGTTGACAGAACTTCCTTCATC